AACTTTTCCAAAACATGCTCTTTGCTGTAAAGTGCTAACGAAAACTCAATTAAATTCCCAATTTGCTAACTATCAGCATATCAGACTTTCAATCAAGTTTCACTTTATTCAACTGCCTAGTCTACTCCAAAGTTTGCAGTAGATAAAGTAACTAGATGTGTTAAAATTACATTCCCACCTAATTGTTAGCTGGATGGATTAGAGTGCAAGATACAGAAACATTAAACACTGAACTCAAACTTCTATGGCTTTGAAGCTCTTAGATAAAGGCAAATGAAAGATAGCATCCTACGCTAACACAAGTCAAGCGTAACCTCTTGATCTTCAGTACCAAAGAAAGGAGATTCAAAGCCAATTTTAAGTCTGTGTTTCTTCTGGGATCAGCATTTGACCTTTTAAAACTTAAAAAAAACCCAGCTTCTTTTTACTGAAGAGCAGTACAGGTTCCTCAAATTGTTTTGAGATTTAGTTTGTTTTCTTGTCTGTTTTTAATTAAGTTGTCCTTTTATGGTCCAAGTAATTCTCATTCATTAAATTCCCCTGACTACTACCAAGATTAATATTAGTGTCTACTGAACCTATGATCAGTTTCAGTTATTTATAGGATATCATGGGTTTGATCTGGTTTACAGTTCTTGTTATGCAGGTAGTTTAATATTTATTCCAAATTATTTATGAAAACTGGATTAACATGCTGAAACTATCAGAATGACATCATGTATCAATCTTCCATTTTCAAGTCAACCAACCACGGGGTTCATGATGGCTACAGGAAATATTTTGAATTCATAGTGTTCTTTATCAATGCAGTGATAACATTATATTCTCATACAGAATAAATAGTAGACCATTTAACAGTGCATGCCCAGGAAAACTCACAAAGAATTCTGTAGAATTCCCCTTCCCCCCGCCCCGAAAATATATCTATATATATATATAGATATATATATATAATCTGTGCATCAGAACATGAAATATGCCTGAGTGTGTCAGAACAGTTCGCCCAACAGATTGCCACCAACATTGCTAACAAAAGATGGTCATTAAGGCAAGCACAGAAGACTGGCCACTTTCTCTAGCCTGTTCACCTCATACTCGCCTAGAATCCACTGTCATTAGATTAAGGGGTTTATAGGGCTGAGTCATCATATTTTCCTTCACAGCCTCCTGTGACCAGCAAACCTCAGACATTCAGAAACCATACTGTAAAAAAACTAATTTTAAAATTGATTTTACCATCTCTTACAGTTTCAACAACTACCCTTTTACTTCTGGTACTGAGGAATTAAGTGAATAACATGTCGTTCCACAAACAGTTTGCCCACCACTTTGATTTTGTAAACCTCAGTCATATCCCTCCTGCGACTTCCCTCCAGATTGAAGATTCCCAGCTGCTTAGTCTCTCCTCACAATACAGTCACTCCAAACCCTGGCTCATTTTAGTTGCCTTCCTCCATCTATGCTTTTCTTAAGTCCATCATACCCTTGGACAGGCAGAGAGCAGATCTGCACAAAGTTTATGACAGTAAACCGACAATTTTCTGGTTTGTTCTCAACATCCTTACTGATGCTGCCTAAGATGTTATGGCTTTTTTTTTGGCTGCCTGTCCACACTGAGCCTGCAAACACTGTCAGTGATAATGCCAGAATCACTTTGAGTTGTAACTGCCATTTGCAAGCCCAGCATCATGAAAGCATGGTATAAAATGTTTCTCGGAAGTGTACATTACCTCACATTTATCTGTGATGAAGATCTGCCACTTGTTGCCCCTCCACTCAGTTTTGGAGTTTTCCTCTATCAGGTTAGCATTTGACTACCTGAGAGATCTTAATGTCATGGACATCCTTGGAAATGTCACGATATACCTCCTGTCTCCAACTAAATTCTCAGATTTATACACCTTACAAAGATATCTATGTTGGTTTCTGTTACTTCTGTAATCTTCCCCCAGCCCTGACCCCAACTGATGAGTATGTTTCAATTTGGCTTGAGAAATATGTCCAAAATGAAGTGTCTATGCCCCATCTGTAAACTGTGCGGGATTATCAAAGTCAATTTCTTCCATCTTCGTAAGCAATAGCAAAATAGACTTTACAGTACATAAAAATTCCTTGCCATTTAAATAATGCTTAGCAACATTACACTCGAATTTGAAATCACTGTCAGATTTCATTTCTGGAGTCCATGCAATTGCTTATTTCTTCCCACTTCCTTTATCTTGAGATCTGCTGAGCCAAAAAATGTAATAGAAAACAAAATTTCAGTTGATCACTACTCCTCTGTTTGAGCTACTGAGATTCAGCTTTCAAAGCAGAGCACAATGTATTGACTAGAAAGAATAAAACATAAATTCTATTAAAAAGAATAGAATCAGTTTTCTTTCCTGATTTGTAGACGTTTCTAAATGTTTTATTTCTTTTTTTTTTTTAATTATTAAATGAATATGTATTCTACCCAGCCAGCTCTCCTTTCAGAATCACCTTCTTCCATTATGGTTTTGAAATCTGTTTCTATTTTCTCATTCTCAAAATTGACTTAAACAAAAATCTTAGAACCCCCTTCATAATCATGGAATTCTTTTAACTGTGAACATTTTAATTTTTAGGAAAGATAAAGAAATATTAAAGGACTATTAAAACTTAAGTGACCCAAAATATAAGCACATTGGCTTAGAAGTTTGTTTGGAAAACGGTCTATTAAAGCTATTCTGAAAAAGAGGAGTGAAAATATTTTAATTCACCCAGATGGATTATAATTTATATTATACTGAGATACTAATATGCCATAGTACACAAATACATGCAATGGACAATGCGTGACTATATTAGCTCTTTTGGACTGCAATTAGAGGTCACTTCCTTCAACTTTTCTTATTTGTCCCATGATTTTTTCTCAATAAAAAATTAAGGCACTTTTGGTGACACGGGTTTCAAGCCTTGAGAACCTGAAGAGAGAACCTGACTGTACCCCAAACCAAGTTAGGACAACTAATGAAAAACTAAAAGATGCTAAAGCATAAAACAGATAAAAATCCCATGATACCAAGGCTATATGCAGAATGTGCAGCAGGTAAACCTACAGTCTTTTCATGCCTAGGGTCATCAATAATTGAGACCTAGCTAAAACACACCACATATTCCTGTCATCTAGGGCTTTTTTTCCTTTGAAAATCCAGTCTGTGAGAGTGAAAAGATGAAGGAAAGAAGAAAAAGCGTGCACTGGAAGGCAGCAGTTAGACCGAGGGTAGGATCTACCTCCAAGATGTGGTAGCAAAAACCGTTCCTTGGCTCTGACACAGCCAAGAAGACAGGTGCAAATGCCTCTGTCCTGATCCACACAGATCTCACTACAGTACATCAAAAGCATTGATATTAGTTTAACATAACACTATCTGTATTCCTCCTAGAGCAATGCATTTATTCATGCAGAGTTCACTAATAGAGGTCTCTGCAATCATTGTCCTCAAAATTACACAAGCTGTGATTCCAGAGGAAAACAAACCAACTGGTCAACAAACCAAATAGACCAAAAGGAGGAATGCACATGCAAGTGTTTATTTAAGATCCTTCATCTAGGGAATATTGCTGTATTATTCCCATTTATCGGATCCTAGGCTTCCTTAAAAATATAGGATGTGCCAAAAAATTCCATATACTGCTAACAGCGCCCTGAGCTAAAACAGATACTGCTAACAGAGTTTCTATTGATAAATGAAGGAAAGTACAATACCAATTTTTACCAGAACTGGAATATACTTCATATTCTCAGGAAAAGCATAACCACCAATCTCTTCTGTGTTGCTGCAGCAGCCTACAGGGCTATTAAAATGATGCGTTATTGTTTTGTAAGTGCTAGCACTTACATGACAAGTTAAGGTTTGGAAACACAGATGGGTTTCCATTGTACGAAAGAACAGCTTTCATTGTGGTAAATAAAGGCCAAGGACTCCCTTGTGTAACAAGCAGCATTACCATCAACACCTGGAAATACGGCAGAAAGCAACATTTAAAGCACCACTGTAGCTTCTGACAGCTGTAGCTTACTTGTTGCATCTCCTCCTTTAACATGTTCCATGTGAAACCTTAATCGCGATTAAACTCAACAAAAAGCTTTCAGGATGCTCCCTTACCACTCCAGCAAACGTTTTCACAGTTTTTCCCCTCCATGGCTCTAAACCAAAAAAATGGCACGATACATCGGAAGTAACAAAACTGTTGCACACTACTAGTTCTCCTACTAAATTTCCAACGCTCATTAATGTACCCCTATAAGGAATATCCTGGGTTTTTTAAAAAAAAAAAAAACCACACACGAAGAAAGCTTTGCTAGCAATTGTATTTTAAAGCAGAATGTTGTATCAGTTTAGGCCTAGCATCTAGGTTAAGAACTTATACTTTTATAAAACCTACTATAGCCAACAACAAATTTATTTTGTTTTCCAACTGGAAATTCTCTTTTTAAAGGAGTCAAACTATTTTTGTATTATCTGCAGCTCAAATACTCCATCTTCCTGTGATTGCATGAGAAAAACAGGTCTGAAAGTGATTATAAATACCATTAAGTTTAACCAATCCATTCTTTTTATCCAGCCTATGAAATGCAGATGCTAATGACATTAATGATAAGCAGTGAATTACATTAGGATTACCTGTATCAATTAGCTAAGGTATATTAGTACAACAGAGATATATTTTAATGACAAGCTATCAAATAGAAAGATGCTAAATCAACTGTAAATTCTGTAAATGAAGCTCTAATCTTTTAAGCATTAGGAGTGGAATTATAAAAATGTGGAGTATGGAAGGGAGTGGTGGTCACTGACAGGATTAAGTAGAAAAGAAGTATTAAACAAATGATTGTGGATGTGAAATTTAATTTCTGATAATTAATTATGAATATGAAAACTCCAGAAGTTGAGAGCTCCTTTGAACATTTAAGTCAGAAGAAAATCAAAAATAACCAAAAATAATTTCACAATGTTTTTCCTCTTTTAACCTACCTCTTTTTTTTCTCTACCAGCTGTCTGCAGATCTCCTGCCACCGAGTATTCAAACTTTCCAGTTGTTCCTTCAGCACCTTAGCATCTGCTGTTGACGACTGCTCAATAATCTCTTCACCAGTTACGTTCAATGTTTTGACAACAGTTTGCTGTCGCCCGATGCCATCCTGAAGCTCCTGAAAAATAAACCCCACATACACGTATTCATAAAAATGTCAAGCATGCAACAAAATGCTTCATCACATACTGGCCAGATGGAAAGAGGTGAAAGTTTTGGCTCTCCTCTGAATTCCAAACGAAAAATCCCAAGGTGAGTAGACAGAAAGACACGTCTAATGTTTTTGTAACAGGCACCTTTCAGTGCCTCTCTACAGCCTTTTTTCCCCGTATTCTTGTCTGCTAGAGATCATTACAGCAATATTCTGCAGATCAATTAACAAGAAAAACTTGTGAACAAATTTACTTCTATACCCCCAAAGGTATACACCATGTTTATTTAATAGCTGATGAAGCATTGTAAAATTTAAAGTGCACAGTGATTGGAATTCCTATTAGCTATCAACAAAAATAAGTAATGTCAAGAAAGCAAAGACCCTTTGAAGCCCTTCTCTTGATTCCATTAAAGAACATGTTTGCCTCCAGTTGTGAGAAGCCTGATAATCCATTCCCTCATGCTTTTTTTTGAGGGGTGGGGGAGACAAATTACATTTCTAAGTATTACCTACATTGCTTCTACTTACATAGCAAAATGCAAAACTACCAGAAGATAACCAAGATGGACCATTTTTCAAGTTTTACTAAATGCATTAAGATACATTTGCTATACCTTGTAGCATTAAAAGACTATCATACCTGTGCTACCTTACCTCATGTTTAAAAACAATACAGTTCTGAATCTTTAGCTTAGATTTTAACACTGTATGCCCATTGAAGAAAGTTCATATTTATAAATATGGAAATAAATCTTCTCATATTTTTAATCATCAGTAGAGCATGAGTAATTTTTTCCTTGAATTGCTCAAAATATACAAGCAGGGAAGTGTAAAATAATTTTCAACGGTTTACTGCTAAAATGAGTAGAAACTGAATAACTTCCACAATTCATACTTATCATAGGTTTCATAATCTCAGGGAGTGTGTCTGAATCCTATCTACGTACAAGAGCTTTTGAGTAAAATGCTGAATCTACCTTTTCCGGAAGAAACCAAATATTTTAGCATATCATCCTCTGGAACAACAGTATATGCTTGTTTTCTCTTTCTAAACACATATGGTAAATTACAGAGCAAGTTAGTAAAACTGCATATAAACGTTAAATTAAATTTGTCCATGAACTGGTTAAAATGGGTGTGATACAGCTTTCAGGAATGTGAAAGATGAACATAACTACTACTTATCTAGTTTTTCATATAACTTGCCCGTTAGATCTTCAGGCATGAGATTATGACTGAAAGTTTACAAACTGAAGGATACTTCTAGCTAACTTGTTTTAACAGGACCACACCTCAGCTGCCAGTTACTAATTCATTGAACCACAGAAAGTCAGTTGCACGCCCTCTCCCAGCTTTTGCACAGATTTTACATGGACAGCTTGAACACCAACACCAGTACAACCTGGGGCCAAATTCAGCTAGCCTCTGTGGCATTTACCTACAGTCCTGGATAGAAGTCATAGTCCTGACAGTACTAACTTCTGCCTCAGCTAAGCTTATTCTTATTATACTTTCTGTTTGGTTTTCTGCAGTTTCTTTTGTTGTTATAAAAGAGAAGTCCTCAAAAATTACTCCTGTCTTTGGTACCTCTCAGTAAAAACTATTATTCTGGTTTGGTTTTTTTTTCCCCAAATTATTTTCATGTCCCATAGTTTCAGAACAAAAGAGTAGCTGTGATGGGCATAATGTTGCAGTAATCTGCATGCTCTTTTATTATGTTTTGATAGAATGAGAAAACTTTTTTCTGCTGGATCCTAGCAAGCTACAATAGTCCGATCACATCACATCAAGCACTCTGCTGGCCTGAAGTGTCCCCACACACTTTGCTTTGCCTGTGGAACATCTAAGATTTTAAGCACTGTAGCAGAAACTGCAAGATCTTCTAAGGCCCAGAAAAGACCCATAAGAGCCTCTTACTTTGTGGTATCAGATTTTCTTGTCTTTCCATGATGCACGTTAATCCAAATAATACCTGGTCCAAATTTTGGCTGTTATTTTCATGTATATCATTCACCGTTTTAGCTGTTATAGTCAGGTAGCTTGCCTAAACGCAAATATCCTCTATTATTGTGAAGCTGAAAAGTCATTGGTCTTTCGAGTACACACCTCAGTTTTGGTAACGCCCAACTTAAAATTAATATCTAGGTTTTGTACACATCCACTGTATTTCACACTGATTTTAGCTCTAAAGCCTTTGCATTATGCAGTAAGGAGCATTACACATATACATCACAACAACAAGATGTATAGTCTACGGAAAAATATATCACAATAAAGTGGCTTATTTCCAGCGAGGCACCTGAAACAATTGTGCTATTGCATGCACCTGTATGAGCTTAAGATCCATACCACTTACAGTAAAAAAAAATAACTCAGAACAAACTTCTACTTATATGCAGCAGGACTGTTCATCTGGAATAGGAGATCAAGGCAAGAAGAAAAAAGAAGATAAATTCTACTTGCTGAACTCCAAAGTTTTTAGAATTAACATTTGTAGAAATTGGAGGTTATCTTGGCACCAGCTTTCCTAAATGACAGAAAGTATAATAGTATACTGACTGGTGATTAAGGAAAATGTGAATTGAAAACTGCTTTAAATAGTCTTACTGAGCCCTTTCCCTGTGTTCACAGTATCATAAATTAGTTTCTCTCCCTCCCCCAGCATACAGACAGAAAAATAATATAGTAACTATTACATGACCTCCACAATTATTTAAACCGGCACAAAATTAACCAAGGGAATTTTCTCTTTTATCTGGTGGCACGCTATGCAATAGGCCTTACTTATAACGTAAAAAAAGAAAATAGCTAGCTCAGTGGCGAAGACAGTCTTTGAACTTAAGATCCCTAATGCCGAAATGGGAACCTCACACAGGATGCGTAGGAAGGAGAAGTGCGAACTTCCACCAGAACATGAGAGAAGGCTTCTGGCCATGTGGATTTCAGATCACAATTCAGATTGGATTTCAACCCAATTTGAGTTTATTTTTTTCCAAGTGGTCTGCGCATTTGACACTCTTCACATGCCTAAACTGAAACACATGTGCTGATGAAGTTTGTCTATATTTCACGTCCTAAGAAAAAGCAGAATTTCCTTGATACAGGGTACTGCACAAAGCATGGCAACCCAGGAAGACATTTAGGGTTTTTTTTTCAACTATTTTTGTATAAAGAAGACAATAGTGTTTCTAACTATTTTGCTGAAAGTCATGTTTTCACACGCTCATCTCAGAGCTACAAACCACAACGACGCTTTTCACCACTTACATTCCGTATTTAAAACTGGTCGACAGCTCTTGTTCCCTATTCCCTCCCTACCCTTGCCACACACCTGCATGCGGACAAGGTGCTGGGAGCCTGTGAGAGGTCGCCTGCCGTGGCCTTACAGGTTATGGTGCTACGGAAGGAATATTGACGTTGAATCTGCTTCTTGTCGTTTCACTTGACATTTCACCCCTTCATACAGAAACAGTGAAGCGAAAGGGCAGGTTGCCCTTTGGATTCTCAGCTTACTCAGTCGGCCATCTGAGAGACTTATACTTGCAAGTACACAGTTTCTAATCACTTTATGAACAGAGTGAGCAAACAAACTTAATTAAAAATGATGTTTATATAATATTAAAAATAAAACAACTCAGGAAAGGTAAGACCTCATCATATTCATATACACAGCGCTAATCACGATTTTGAGTGGACTGCAGATACTTCTATGTACTTTGTGTTTTCAGCAGGTTGCATTTTTAGTTACTACAAAAAGCAGATGATAATATAAAATACCCATCCCTTTAATTTTCCTTTCTTGTGGTTCCCAAGCATAAGTAAGCAGGGAATGACATATCATTAAAGTAAGGTTTAAATATTCTCTCAGATTAAAAATTGCAAAACCAGTATATTAAAGGACTTTACCTCTCATACAGATCATTTTACACTTTGATAATGACCTCAACTAATTTAGTGTGATAACTTAAAACTGCCTAGACATTCATACGATGTTTCTTTGCTTCAATTAATTTCTTTTTATTTTCCAAGATTTACCTAAAATGAAAAATTATGCACATTTTCAGAAAACTTAAAAGTGGAATACATGCAAAAAAGAAATATGGGGTAAACACAGGGGAAAACCCTCACCAAAGTCAATAGAGCTGTTTCTGCAATTGCAGGGGACTCTGCCCATAATCACCTTGAAAACTCTGGCCTAGTTCACTATTGGTTTTAATTTTTCTTCTCACTTGTACCTTCTGGTCCTAGAAGCAACTGCTTAGAGACAACACAAGAGCAGCTGCTTGATGATATTTTTTTGCATCAAACATAAAAAAGAAAATAAGTAAAAAAATAAAAAGTGGAAAGAGAAATTCCCAAAGGAATTTCTTAGCATGACACTTCCAGCATTACTTCTGACCCCTCCAAATATATGTAGAACAGTATTTTAGTTGTACTTCCAAACATTCAGAGGTTTCTGCATCAATATTAGTTGTTATGGTGCTTTAGTTTTATAGAATTTTTTAATTGGAATCATCAGGAGGGTTGGTTGTTTTGTTTTGGGGTTTTTTTTGGGGGGGATGCGCTGTTTTTTCTTTTTTAAATGGCCACTTATTAACAGACTACACATTTGCTTAATCTACCATCATTGATATCATGAGGAATTGGTTATACCTCGCATTATTCTTTCCTGAGAAATTATGATTAAAATTTTTGTAGAAAAGAGAAGTCACTTATATAATTGATTAAACAACTTATTCCCCACTTTCAAACAAAATACAGTACACCATCACATCCCTAGTTGCCACCTTTTTTTCAGCCTCCTGGCTTTCACAATGCTCATGAAAACTGACCAGCCAATATGACTAAAAGATAAATTATTGGTTCAGAAAGATTCCTGATACTAATTAAAATAATAAAAAAGAAAAATATTTGAGTGTATAATGATTTGAAGTAAAGCAGTTAGATTGCTTTTCCTGTATTAT